CATTATTCCTGGGTTTTCACCACCACGGACCAACGTGGCCGTTGCATCCTGACAGTCCTAAATCGTGCCAACACACCATCCCTGGGACTTCGGCCACTTGAACCTTTGAACCTGCTGTAGAACTTTCAGACGGCTGCGCGGCGCGACAGCGATGTCCAAATCTTGAGAAACAAATAAAAAAGGGGCAGCCTGTTTATCCTGAACTATTGCAAACGTTTAAGCGAATGCGTGCGGCGCGAAGGCGAGCGCTACGTGTTGAAGTACACCCGCCCTCCACTTGTGCAGTTCTTGCAAGAAAACCCGCCCTCCACTTGCGAAACTCTTGCAAGTGTTGAGACGACCGCGCGCTGCGCTACGGCGAGAGCCACACTTTGAAAACGATCCGCCCTCCGGCAAAGAAACGGTTTGCATTTTCAAGCTGTAGGATCGTCTCGCGCGGAAGCGCCAGGCCCGCCCTACCGATACGTTTGGGGGGTGCGAAAGGGAGGATGTTGGAAGACGGCGTAAAAGGTCGGGAGGAGGAGACGAGGAGGAGAAAAAGGAGGAGGAGCACGAGGAGGAGGAAAAGGAGGAAAGGAGGAGGAAGATCAGGAAAAGGAGGAGGACCAGTGTAAGCCCAAGATTCATCACGATGTGTGCCCCGTTGGGATACAACCTTTTGAAGATCATGAAGCGTGCCGAAACACAATTCTTTGGACTACAACGCCACGAATCAGCCTGACTGTTGCGTTTTGACGTTGCTGACTTGTGAACATTCCTGGGACTTCAAAACCGCGAATCAACACAAATTTTACGCCCTGGCAATCCTGAAGTGCTCAAGAACACCACTTCTGGTATGCCAGCCGTGGGAATCTATGAAACTCTTGCAACCGTTTGCACCGAGTGTGCGCGGCGCTTAGGCAAGAGTTACATGTTGAAAAGGAATCGTCCGCAACCCGCTAAATTCTTGCAGTTTTTTAAGACGAATGCGCGAGGCGCTGAGGCGAGAGCCACATTTTGAAAACCGCCCGCCCTCAATACATGAAGCCTTTCCATTTCTAAAGATCAATGCCCGCGGCGCGAAGACGAGAGCCATATTTCGGAAGCGACCCACCTTTTCATGTACAGTGGAGACCCATGCCAAGAAACACTCTGCTTGCCTCCAGGGTGCTCCGGGTTTCTTGGGTTTCGATGGTTCTGCGATGGGAGACGTGACGATCCCACATCAAAAATCTATATGCACGTCCTGGGGTCTCAGGGGTGG